CTTAAACGTTATGTTTTTATATTAACGAATCGAAGATAGATCGATATCATTTCAGCTGGATGGTAGTAGTATTGTTATTGTAAGTAATTACTCGCACTTTGTAAATGTATAATTTAGGATTTAGTGACTATGTTTGCAGTTATCAATAAATATCTTTCGAGACATTGTATAAAATAGCAAAAAAATATGATACTACTACATGTGGTTAGTTATAGGTACGCTATAAAAAGTAGTATAGTAAGTATTATACCTATGTAAATAAACTAGAATTAAGTTAGCGATGTCTACATTAAAATGAATATTAAACATCATGAATATTCTATGTAAAGTGTTCTATACTACACGTTGTGTATAATATGATATACGTATATACAATACACTATTCGGCTGAAATACAACGAAAACGAAAGACTATCATAGACTTAGTTAATTGTTATTAGATAATAATATATTTATATTATTAATAAAGTACCCTTCTGAAAATAAAATAGTAGCAAGAATATTTTAATATTGATCAAATCGCCTGATACTGATCGAATGTAAGTTTTTTTTTCATTCTAGAAAGTTAAATAAACTTCAGTAGAGTAGATTTTAAAATCTTGCCTTTTCTAATTAAATTATTTAAGATTTCCTTCACCATATTTATATTTGCAGTTGCAGTTTTCAATTATAATACAAATACTAATACATCCGTTTCCTCCTCTGTGATCAACATCATTCCACCATTTTTGTCCAAAGTATGTTCAAGCCGAGAATACGCTTATCAGTCCAATCAGGATGCAACGGGACGTGCACAGCAAGCCAATAATGCACACGTTGCAATATATAATATAATAATAAGAATACAATTCTCTTTATTACTTAACACTCCTAATACACTTTTTGATCTAGTTTGTACACCGAATTTTTTAAACGGAAGTAATTCACGGTATCAATTTTTCTATGCTAATGAAACTGCTGTTCGTAGTTTAACAATTTGCATATTTCGAATATGCTATATAAATGCAAAAATAAACCGTTACAAATTAGCGTCATCAAAATGAAGAATAGCAAGGCAATATTAAAAATTTGAACTAACGGTGTTAATGGGCGACTGTAATATAAGTAAATATTAAATATAAACAATTAGACAGAGTTATCAATAGTATACATTCCTATGTAAATCCATGTTTTTATGGATTATAAAAGAACGGTGTATATGCTTGTAACATTAGGACGATAAGATGCATATGAAGTCAGGTCAGTAAATTCGTCGTGACAAATTAACCACGCTATTTACAGTGCTAATCACGTGGTTGACGTGACTTGGTACATTTCTACGAAAGGAATCACTAATTCCCTTAACTAGTAATCCTCTCACCCTCAATCGCATACGTCAAACAACTTTTAAAGGCACACTTATCTAAAATAGTAAACAATGCGTTGTAAGCGTGTTGCGCAGTGCAAGTTCAAGGGCTAATGGTTCAACGACCCTGTCTCACCGTGTATAGGCCGTCTCGTTATCATAAGTAGGTACACACTAATAATATTTTAATATGACTTTCCATCAATTACTTACAATAGTTATGGACCATATAAAAATCAAAAGTCACTGAATGCATCTCAATTTAAAATGAAAATAGATTTTTGTTATTTATATTTTATGGTAATGTAGAAAATATAAATACAATAAACGAGACTATAACGTCTTCAACAATAAATGTGGAGCTACTCAAAAACGTAACCCCTTTTTGAGAGGTAGGAACTTTAATTTAGATATGGCTATGGAGCTTCATGCATTCAAACTAAAAAAAAATAATATAATTTATATTACACGTTCTATTATAGAAAGGATGACTTATTGTACGACTACTTGACGACAATGATAGATATATCTAAAAATAGATTTTCCTGAAAAATGGTCATGCAAAAATCATAGAGTGCATGTAAATGACTGAAACAATTTACAAGTCAGTCCCGCAACGCCTTAAGTAATGGTGAAGAATCGTCTGCTAAACAGTGACAATGGAAAATTAACACTTTTGAAGTACGGTCATTCACTCACTACATTTACCTAATACATGTGATAATACAAGAATGCTACATATTAATATTAAAATAAATCTTGTAAATGAATATCAAGTTTTACCCATTGTAAAAATGGATTGTGGTGATGGGAATGTGTTATAGGATAATACTGAACTACTGAAATTTTGCATTTCATAAAGGATATAGACATATAATTTAAAAATGATGTTTCTCAAGAAAACACGTCTACAACAATAATATAATTTGTAAAGCGTAGAGACGGCAATCATGTCACGTAGCTTACTGTAATGTCTATGAATTACACAAGTGCATATTGTTATTATTAAATGTATATTATAGTTAAATTTAAAATATTCTTCCTATCGTTAAATGAAAATTTGTATAATACATTTGAAATATTATCATGAATCTTTAACAATCAAACATAGTTTCGAACTTAAACGTTAATCGTAAGTAAATTCCAAAGTAAAAGAACTTCAATCATTATATTAGTTACAGAATGGACTAATAATGGAATACTCAGTGAGAGAGATTAACTCTCGTTTGACTGAATGTACAATTAATACATTATATTCAGTGATGAGTACAATGCCTAATTATTATAATCTAATATATACATAAATAATACATTAGACATATCATTAAAGGTTTGTTTCATTGAGTAACTAATCGAGTCATCGACTGTTCGTATCAAATGCCAGAGTTCAATGGTGGTACCAGTGTACTGCTATAATAATTCTTTTTATAGATTATTAATATACATAAAGAAATTAATTGAGAACTACCTATGCCTCGCATTTTATACGAGACAAGATATCTCTTGAATAAATTTTTATGGCTCGTTACAGATTTATCACTCTAAAAATATTTGCTTTTAAATATCCCGGTTACGTAGGTAGTACTGATAGTTTATATAATTCTGGACATAAAGAATATATATAATAATAAAAACTAAGTTACTACGTTTTACACAGCGAGAGTAAGAGATACTAAAAAGAAGTGTATTACCACTTCTTGGTCAAGTGTCAAAAATTCATATAATACAACATTATCATTATTTTAACTATAGCTAAGAAGTACAATATACATAGCGTTCTCCCAAAAAAAATAAAGATATAAATATCGTTCAAATCACATTCATTTACATATTGTGCTATATTTTTCCGCACGGTCAGTCGTCTGGTACCACATAATAATTATATTGAGGTAACTTGTGCCAGTGACTTTTAAGCTTACGATTCAACTTAAAGGCTGACTGTACATTACATAGTTGATTGAAACTAATAGAAATTTTACATGACAATATTCAATTACATAAAATGCAATGCAAATTATAATAGGAACTGCATTACTTATATTTCTTGACAGTGTTATTTTTAAATTGTAATAATAAAGAAGTTAATAGACACGCGTCTTTGAAAAATAAATATCTATATCATCTTACTATACTTAACCAAAATGGCAATAAATCGAGCAAAAGCAAAGTGTTCTAATTTAATATAAAAATAGAAACCTCTAAATTGTGAATTAAAAATATTACCTATTAACATAGTATATAATTCAGTTGGCAATAATTTTTTTTTAGATTTAATTATGCTCCAAAGGAAAACCTAAGAATAATATATTGTTCTTAGATTGCAACGTAATTATAGAACTTGTCATATTCACATATATGGCTCCGAGGCAGCCTTGTACTTAGCTGTTTGCGTGAGTTCTTCTATATCACCTTTTTTTTAAATCAACTGCTAATAAACTTATTTGTACGTATGGTTGAAGGGTGAGATAAGACAATTCATTTTTTTTTTCTGAGTCTTCTACATTTTATTGCTGTTGTTAATTACAGTGTATGATTAATTCATTTATATATTTAGTAACATTGTGTTAAAGTAGCATATAACAATTACAATTTATAACTTTCGTTGTTATAATATATTTCGGTGTTGCAACTGTACGCGAATCCTTCTACAAGAGCTTATTGGCCTACGCTATGAGGTATACTGACATCTTAATATACGCACAAATTTGTTGGACCAATTACACGCGGCCATAATTATGTATATATTCAGTTGCACCAAGTTTACCTACATCTGCTTAAACTACTAGGTACAATGAAACAAATAATATACCTAAAATAAATATAAAATAATATATAATGCCTCTATAGTAGAACTATTATCTGCCGCAGCCCTCATCCAAAATATAACGATATATGTGAATACACGTAAATGTACGGAGAGCCATATTCAGTAGTCAATGTACGAGATACTCGAATTTAAATTAAAAAAAAATGTCTCGTACAGAGGGGGTCTGTACGGGACATTTTTTTTTATTGTAACATAGATTAATTCTGTAAAGTGATTGAGTAAATGTTTATTCAATACTGTCATTGCTGCATTTTCATATAACACGTGAGTGATTTCTTGTTTTGATTTTTCACTCTATTACCCATAAGTTTCGTTGAGTTTATGGACTTGCTTCTTCGGCTTAATGTAAAATTTAAGTTCCTAGATGTATTAGAGACTCAATGTTATTGGTGTACTGCTTTCTTAACATGTCTTAGTGTACAAAAGTCAGTAGTAAGTAATAAATTATTACACTCACTTTCCGAACAATATGAGTCTTACGATTAGTAAAAACTGTAATAATTACTCTTCAAAAGTTTAGTTATGGAAACTATATTTATATTATAATACAATAACACAACAAATATGATATTATATTTGATATGGAATAGAAAATAAGTTATTTTATCTGACTCTTACGAAATAAAACCACTCATTTTTATATATAGTTTGTAGAGTTAAATTCTTACAATACCCTACATTATTTACTATACTTTGAAAGTACATGAACTTTTTTATATCACTAATATGTCAATTGCTCTATTTGTGATCAATAAAATAATCTATTTGAATAATAATAATAGTAATACTCGTTTTAATCATTGTAAAATACTTAAAATAGGTACTCACTTGACTTAGAATTCCATTTTTTATTCATGTAGTTAAGATGTGTAGGATAGTGTCGCCGGTAAAAATGAATTTATTTCAATTAATTTATTCACTCGTTCCGAGTACACGGATTTACCACAGCTATGACTTATAATTTAAGAAAATCCTATTTTGCTAATATGTTTAGTGTAAAACAATATAATGGTTTATGTCAAATATTCGTTATTTTCGGATTCGACAGAAGCATGGAGCTGTGGAACGCCGAACGAAGCGTGCGTTTCACCCACACGTCTTTACATTACTGATCAAATATTGTCTCTAGTCTCTACCACTCTACCAAGCTGTCGGGAGTAGTGGAGATCTATCGCACAGATCTTTACTCTGTGTTGCTACGTGATCCAGTATAACGTATACTTTCTAAGTTATATTTTTTTCATTAATAATATAATATAAAAAAAATGGTAATAAAATATTTATACCTTATACCTATTTTTAACTTTATACCTATTTTTTTTTCGGTACGAACCAAATCGATTTGTTTATGTATGTAAAAAGTCTTGATTGAAGTTTTTGAAGTCTTTGCCGGTAAGCAAGTAATTTTTTATGGTTGAAGACTTCAAATGACTTCAACCATACCAACCCTTTAGCAACAACTCTCTTAGACTCCAGGGATTATGTATGCAGGCTGAAAAGGTCACGTCTGGCTACGATTTAACAGAGCACTTGTATACAAAAGCAAGACCACATTACTGGATGTGGTAACTCAAAGCAACACATAACAAAATCTATAAAATCTGATAAAAGCGAATTGGAAGATCACAGATAGATAAGGAAAAAATAAAAATAAAGTTTTATATTGCACATAAAAATATATAAATTACTATGATTTTTTCACATATTAAAGGAACATACAAGTTAACAACAGATGGCGTGGCCTCGTACAAATATTTCATTCATTATTGTCGTTTGATAACCTAATAATTAATAGTACACGCATAATAATTTCACGGGTATTACTAATTTATTATAAAATACGTAATATGCATATATGGTATGTTGATGTTAAATAATCGCGATTTTTTATTGTAAAGGTTTAAACATAACATTATTAAAATTTATTGATGTTATCTTCAATTGTATTATTATAAATTATACAATTTATATTGTATTTCAATCGACAAAATAACTATAATTAAAATTAATCCAATATTAGTTTACAGGTATAAAAATACAGTCTAATTGGGACCCTTTACTTTTATCGTGTATAATTATATAAAGCCTAAACTCGAGACCTATTCCAGAATTAAAATTATTCAGTATTACTTACATTAAAATAATGATAAATTATGATCATAATTTGGACACTAAAACGATACGACTGGTATTGTCGACACCAACTCAAAGTCTCTCAACGAGCTATGAAAGAGCGAGCATAGCTTTTCGTATCTGTAAGTTGAAGTGGCACTCAGCTGGTCGTATCTGTCGCAGAACCGAATCTCGCTGGAGTACGCGTGATCTAGAGTGGAGACCTCAAATTGACAATCGTAATGTAGGTCGCGCTGGAGCCAGGTGGAGCGACGACATCCGTAGAGTAGCGGGTAAAAACTGGAAGAGAAGGGCTGAAGATCGTACCAAGTGACGTGCCTTGGGAGAGTCCTATGTACAGGAATTGATGGAGTATAATTATCAACATTAACATTTTTTTGATCAGGATGAGTATTTTATTATTCAGTGTTGTCATATCGATGACCTATGACTATCTATCTAGAAACAATGTGACCTATTATAATTTATCATAATGTAAAACAAAAGTACCTATTTTATAATATTTATGTAGTAGACATTATACCTAAAAGATTTCAACATGTCTTGTCCACAATATCAACTGCTTATGTATTATATTATTTGTATATTTTATTCAAATGCATGACTAACACGTTAAAGACCGCATGCCCAACGATGGGTCACTCCGCAACAAAGTAAATTTACACGTTGGGACCGGATGATCACCCGTGGCCACTTTAATTGAAATAAATCAATGTGTTAAATATTGTCTACTTCAAATTATTGTACACTAAAAACATGAAATAAAAAAAATCTAGTCCTTATGTGAGAAATAAGATTTTTCAATGCGGTCTTCAACGTGCTAATATAGGTAGTATTAGCAATCTTTAGCGACGAACACACGACATTTAAACCAGGGGCAATATACAAAAACAGTGATGTTGGGTATAAAATTAATTCGATGAACACGCACGTAAAATTGGCACTGATATCGCTAACCCCTAGGCGATCTAGGAAGTGATCCAGGCCACTACTCTAATATTGGCCCTGTTCTAGTGTCGTAAAAACAATTTACAGAGATTCAGTAATAACATTATTAATCATACAAGTGACCACAGATACATATGCAATACTAAATATAGTTATTGGGATTTATTCTGTTCCATGTCCCTTCTATTTTTAAACTGTTATATTATATATTAATCATTACATTACACTCATTATTTAAAAAATATGCTTTGGTAGTTTTTACTGTCTTTTGTCTGTATGACTATGACTTTCCACCCATAGTTATTTTAGTAGTGTTTTATAAAATCCCTTATTCTTATATTCTAAAGACCAAAGATATTTATTTTTTCTTTCACACTCTGAAATTTATTATAGAAATAATATAGGTCCTGAATTTTATATTATTAGTCCAATGGGACTAATAATATAAAGAAAAGTTTGTTCTCTGAGCAAAGTCCACCATACAATTATATATTATCAATAATATTACAATAATAATAGCCCTCTTAGTATGCTATGTAGTCTAAATATATTTTTAAAGAATTCAATCATATTATCGTTTATTTTTACTGACAAATTATTATGCAATCGAATTTGGAAAAGAAATGCAAACAATGAAAACGTGCTAAATAAGTTTGAAGATTAACATATTTTTCATGAAGGCACGTCACATATTCTTCAAAGGAGAGAAGCAAGAGAGCTGTAATTTGACGAATTTATTACGTCGTTAAAACTACTTTCTGCGGACTGTGGTTTTTAAAGTCTTAAAATCAAATGATACTAGACATTAAGGATGTTTATTTTAGAAATTCAAAAATGTAGATTGGCAAAATGTATAATTTATAAAACTAAGAAACGGTAGAAGTGAAACAATTGTCAGTTTTAGAATAGGAAGATACAATACCTATGTGCATAAAGGATCTGTTTTTTGTTAATTATATGTTTTTTATTGATAATTTCTTATTAATTATAAGTAAATATGACATTTAAATTTTTGTAAAAAATTTACCCTTAAAAGAAAATAGGGTTTGAAATTCTGTATGGAAATTCGTTTCATTTTTTAAGCTAATACACTGAAACTTTTTTGGGTAAGATTATTAAATATTTTAAGATCACTATTCCACGCAGACGAAGTCACGGGCACAGCTAGTAAGTAAAGGAAAGCAGGAAATAAAATATTCTGATAGACCACTGAGCCCATCAATTGTAGTAAGTAATAAGTGTACCTACTCTTCAAATAATTCTCATAAACTAATTTACTAATTATAATAGTTAGCTAGAAGGTCGTTCACAGGCGCTGATGTCACCAATCACCATCGCGACTGATTTACGAGTACTTGGGATCAGGGACCCCAGCAGTGTCGCGGATATACGAGTATGTACGAGTATGACATGTCATGCAGGCCCTTCCTATGTACACTCGTACAGCAAACATGTTATTTGAATAATTCATTTTATCAAGATTAGTAAATTAAAGTGACGTCTTTAATTTCATATTATATTTTTTTGCTAATCAACTGGAATTTACCAGAATTAATGATACGGCAGATATATATCTAAATTGAAATTATATTACGTAGCTATTCATTCTTAAGGACATTGTATTGATCATTGTTTACTTCAAGGTTTTACGCTCGGTCACATATTTTGTTAAGATGGCTTTTATAGAATAAATAATTCCTAAAACAAATACAAATAAACTGAAGCTACTTCAAATTCTTGAATTTTTTGGTTCATTTTTGGAAAATTGTAATGGATTTGTTTATAACTAATTATGCCTACGACATCGTGCACATATACACGTACCTATCTATTGATATTGATTATTATAATAATCAAACCACAACTTTAAATAAACCATCTATACGACGTAATCTATGGATTGTGGTCGTATATGTATAAGTATAATTAAATTCTATTATATAATAATAATTGTATTAATTCATAAAATAGGTAACATATTTAGGATGAAATTTTCACAGAATTTGTTGTTTAATATGGTTCAACATATACACTAAAGGAAACAGAAATTGCGGGGCTGGAGTGCCGTTTTTACGAGTTGCTTTAGCACCCAATTTTTTTTTATCTTGACACGATTGTAATATATAGGTAATGTACTGTACGCTGTTTTAAATAATTTGAAAAATTACTTTACACAATAATAAATAACAGGCATTCCACAGAATTGTTATGATAATAATCAATGTAATCTGATTATTGTCTTTTTTTTTCATATTTTTTATACGATTAATTACATTACATAAAATTATATTACGAATTAAAAGTTTCTATTTTACTATTAAATACCTACTTTTCACGTTACATACAGCATGGTCAGTCGCCATTTTTATTGCACTTTTTTTATTACGATTCGTACTTATTTTCATGTACTCTCTAATGGGTTAAAGCAGAAAATCAGTGTTTTGTTCTCTTTATCTTTCACTTTTTTGTATTGCTACGCATAATGACACAAACTTGTTAGTCTATGTAAAAGTATGTATGTATTGTCCATATTTATAAAAGTGTAATTGTGTGTGATTGATAACAATCAATTAAGCGATTTATCTATTTACCTATCTAAATATATTCAGATTGCGTTCAATTGATACCTATTGATATGGTATTAAAGGGTCAGTTAGATAATGTTAGGTCCATCAGTACCCTTTAAAAATTATAGACGATTTTAGTCGTCAATATAGCGAAACTGGAGATAGATTTATTTTATAAAGAACAATTGCATGCAGTATATCTAAAAGTTGGCAAGCTTCTTAAAATTCTCCAGCAAAATCGCATGAGTTCACTGCGTTAATAAATTACTAAAGCGATTAATACATTTATCAACGTCGACTCAAATTTAGCCTATGCGAAGTGGCGCCGGCAATTATTGGATTTCCCAAATGTTTTCTGTATTTTTAGTCCTAATAATTTTGTGTTTAATTTAAGATTAAATTCAGCATTCAAAGATTATTAATGAAGCCTAGAA